CAATACCCCATATTAAGGTCGCATTACAATAATTTAACAACAGAATGATACAAATATTCTAGCCTATCTGACCAATGTTCTATATAAATAAAAGCCCAGGTCGTATATATTTTCAAAATGGAGGTGTGTAAATGAAATAAGTTACCTTAAATTCTACTTTAAAGTTGCTCATAGGAATAACATGGCGTCTGCTGAAAATCTTACAATACGCAGATACTCACTCACCGATCAACGTGTATGCTAAAAGAGATCGGGTCTCATAAAACACAGTTAGAGTAACCCCTGATTTTTCGTGTTATTTGATGTAAAACAAGTTTGTTTATCAACTTATCAATTTTGAGGCTTGAATTAATTCGTTAACAGTATCAATTCGATGATTGTTCCTAGCCATGAATTTCCACTTACATCAATAGAAATTCAAATTCAAAAAGCCTGCTCAAAATTGTTCATCTTCACAGAATGGTATACTATCTTTAGAACGAGACTAACCTTGTATTTTTCGTATTTTGGCTCTTTTTTTCCACGACATTTTTTAACACAAACGTGTATCAGTATCATATGTTTAAGAAAATGTACATATGTGCGAACAAATAGTTCAGAAGACAACAGAATCGTCGATTTAATTCTTCACTTAGTTAAACATAAACGGTTTTTCGAAAAACAGTTAAGACCTGCACTTTTAACCCAAACCATTTATGTAACTTAAGTGAGGAATTAAATCGACGATTCTGTTGTCTTCTGGGCTATTTTTTCGCAAACATGAACATTTTCTAAAACATATGATACTGATATACGTTTGTAAAAAAAACATCGTGGGGATTGTGCCTACAACGCGTGAAATAAGGAAAAAAGAAAAATCGTACCTTCGACGTTCCGACATTTTGTTACCAAAACGAACCGTTTCGGTAACCAGCGTAATCAGGTGGATCACCAGTGATGACGTTATCATCACAAAATTAATATAATTACTCGTAGGGGGATTCCCGCATTGAAAATGAAGCAAATTAATAATTATAATTTAAAAGAGCGATCACTATTGTTGAGAGACAGACCGACTGAATAACAGATATATGTAGATAGACGAGCAAGAATGATGTTTTGCTTTTCATGATAACTTGATATTGACCCGTCAAGTAGCTTGATGTCCACTTTTAAGATTTCCACGGATTCTGAACATCCTCCTGTGCCAAACGTTGTTGAACAGCTTAGTATGTCTCCTTTCCATTATCAATGGAACTATATATTATCAATTACCCATACACTGTAATCAATCGTGGAGTCAACAGTCAAGGGGTGTGTTTTCTGCTGGATTTCTTGACAAAAAATCTTATGAAAATATTGTGAGAGTTGCTCATGCAGTCAGAGACAATGAATATAGTTTTTTCATGAAAATACTGATATAGTTCTTCACAGCTGTGCTGTCATCGAGAACAATTTGAAATAATTTTTTGCTTTTTGGTGGATTAATCTCCATCTTGTTTTGATTTTCAATAGTTGTTGCCTTTTGGGTTTCCTTATCACATAATTTCATTTGCACATGTAATTTTCAAAACCTATTCACCAAAGAGCTTTAATATAGCCTAAACATTAATAAAATTTTCATAATTGCAAATTTGCTTTTATTTACAAAATAATGTTCATCTAAATATATAAAAATACATGTACAATTTATCATTTGTTATTTTTAATAATAGTTAATAATAATACTGTAATGTTGCATGACTAACTATAATCCATGAAGATGTTATGGCAGCCATAACACTGACCTTTTGCTACAGTTGTTCATGAACTTTGAAGATCAATAAATATCTATTTATAGCAGGTTGATGAATTTTGATTTTGTTTTTTGGAACAGAAGTTGAAATATTTTGAATCTTTTTTCATGAAAATTCTAATAAATCATGAATGTTCTGCCATTGAGAGCAATTTGAAATTATTTTTTTGCTTTTGGGTGGATTCATATCCATCTTGTTTTGTTTTTCAATTGTTGCCCTTTGGACCTCCTTAATACAACAATGTAAATTTCCTAAGTGCATTTAAAAATTTCGAAACCTATAATAGCAACAGTTAAAAAAATATACATAAAATTAATTTTCATTATATTCATTGCACATTTGTTTTTATTCATAAAATAATTTTCATCTAAAATACAGGGTGGGCCAAAAAAATTTGCAACTTTTTTAAAAGGCTAGAAAAGTATCAAAACAAGGGTATTGCCATAAAAAATTATTTACAGAAACTTAAGGATAGGCATATATTACCATTTAAATACTAAAGCTAAACTGGACTTCAATCTTTTTTATCAGATCTTTGAATATCAATTGTCTATTGTTCATGTGTCCGAGATTTACCGTTTTTCCTAGAAAATGTTTCATTTATGTGATCAACAATAACACATTCATTATGTTCACTAAATCTGTTACAATCTTGGATAACTGTTCAACCTATGTCTAGTACAGTTTATATCAGTATCTAGTCACTATGATATTATGTATCTATTGATTATTTATTAAACAAATTTTATGCATCAACCTTTCACCTTCTCTACAAGGAGACACGGGCAGAACTGGTGAATGGCGCGATCCAGCGATTCTTGTGGTAGTTCTCTCCACTTCTCCTGCAGAACTTCTTTTAGTTTAACAATAGTTTGTGGGGGATTACCATTAACTGCAATAAGCTGCTCCAGGTGCCCCCAATGGTGATAGTCACAGGAGTTTGCATCTGGGGTATTTGGCAGCCATTCATCAGGACTAATGAATCAAGGCTTATTCTCCTCCAGATATTCCAAAGTGACTTTTGCCCGATGGCTGGGAACGATACGGAAGGTGAAAGGGGATGCATAGAACATTTGTTTAATAGATAATTAATAAATACAATATAACATAATACCATAGTGACTAGATACTGATATAAACTAGACATTGAGGTAGACATTGTTTAAACAGTTATCCAAGATTGTAGCAGATTTAGTGAACATTATGAATGTGTTATTGTTGATCACATAAAATCATAGAAAGTCACATTTTCTAGGAAAAATGGTAAATCTCAGACACATGAATAATTGACCATTGATATTCAAAGATCTGACAAAAAAATTTGAAGCCAGCTTTAGCTTTAGCATTTATCTGGTAAAATATGCCTATCCTTAAGTTTCTGTAAATAATTTTTTATGGCAATATCCTTATGTTTTGATACCTTTTTAGCCTTTTAAAAAAGTTGCAAAATTTTTTGGCCCACCCTGTATATATATAAATACAAGTTACTTTTTCAATTCCTATTTTTTTTACAAAACTTACAAGGAAGTTACTGTTTTCATGCTGTAAAATAATAATTCTACAATAATGTTGCAGGACTAGATATCAATTTACAGACTATTTGCTACAATTGTTAAATCTTGTAGATCAATAAATGCAGGGTGTTACTGTTAAAACATGTAACCAAAAGAAATTGCTATATCGTGGCTAAATCAACTGTGTTCACTTTTTCAGGAAAGAAAGAAGAAATTTTATTTAGTTGGTTGGAAAACATAATGCCTTGGACACCTGCTCAAAAGACATTCGTAATAGAGAAATACTTCAAAACAGGTATTAAAAAATTGCAAGTGCAATAAAACCAAATAAATACCTAACCACAGTGTTTTGGCACTTCCATTTGGCACAGATTATCTTCATTCAAGGTGTTGTATTTAAGTTTGTAGTTTCATCAAAATCACTCCAGGGACTTTACAGTCATGGTCAAGATGGCTTCTAAAGTCTGTCTGAACCAGGCGAATGACTGCACTTTGAAGTATTTCTCTATTACCCATGTCTTTTGAGCAGGTGTTGAAGACATAATGTTTTTCAACTAACTAACTAATTTGTTTTGAACACCTTGTACAAAGTATGTGTACAACAATACATCTTGATGTACGATTCGTCCATAATAAATCAACTGCTACTGTAGTTAAGCAATAAACATTTGACAGCTGCAATATGTTAATTTTATTATATACAGTACAAATAATTGTACAAAATACAGTAAATCTTATCTTATCTCTCAGTTTAAACACTATCTTTCCATTTTACTGACTTATATGTTAATGAACCCTTTCTGTAAGGAACACCTGACTACTGGGAACAAGGAATGGTGTTCAAGGACATATTAATATAATATACCTTTGTTCCAGGAATATAAACAATATGTTTCCCTATAAATCCTATTGTAGTTTAGTTGTATAAATGACTTTAAGTTTTGGTGAGCATTCCTTGTAAACACTTTTTACTGTATAATTATATAAAATGGTTATCACAGTTGTCTTAGATTGCAATGTAAAACCATTGATGTATTGGAGGGACAGAGGTAGGGTGACTGGTTATGGTGGACTGGTCATATGTCACTATATTCCACTATCTTCCAAAGGAATATCAGATGTCAGCACCATGTCATTCACCTAATCAGCTTATCCCCTGACCAAGGCTTTTAGGGGTATATCAAATCCTTCATATACACGCTTGTCATTGAAACATGTTACTCACAAATACTCGCTCAAATATGAAACAAAGTTTGATTTGCTTTAATATTGAACAAAAAAAACTCACATAGAAAAAAGCATTTGAACTTCAGAGATCATTAGTAGTGCATGCACATGCTAAACAGTGCATATTTTAAATTACTTTTGATTTAAAAGATGGCGACACTTCTATAAAAATGAATGTATCATGTAATACAAACAACTTCGCCATCTTTCAATGACATTCATAAAACTTGATATATAAAGCTTGAAGATCAAAAATATTTTTTGATTAATTATTGTAAGCTTTGATGTGGTACGTTTGAGCTGTTGTTGGTGTCAAATGAAAGATAAGGTTCTTATCAATACATTGGACATTCTATAAAATTCAAATAAAAGTCTTCGTTTTGCCCAAAAACATTGAAAATACGTACAACTAATGTGTACAACCATATATTTTGCCACTGTACATTGTCAATGGTTAGGCGTGATTTAACCAGAGCCATAGTGGTCACTCCATCATTGCCCTGTACTGCAGCTGGTCTTTTAGCATCTTCAGGAATACTCTGTATTTTTTTTCATGGAACCTAAAAAATAAAAATTTTAATAAATGGGCATCAACTTTTGAGAAATGAGGCAATGTGAGGAAGAGGCAACGATTTTGGTGACCCTTGATATGTTTACATTGGTAGGTACAAGCCTATGTTAATATTTTTTCACGACAAAATCAATATTAAGGTGGCAGATGAAAATAATTTTGTGATGATTTGGGATTGAACACCTCAAAAGTTGCTTATTGGCTCATTAAATGGGGTCTGTGGGTGTTTTTAACAAAACTGGAATAATCTTATAGTTTCTGGATACAGGATAAAGAATACATTATGTTTCATGATAGGCTAAAAACCACATTAGCAGATAATAATGTAATACAAATGATTAATCAAAAACAATTGGCTTTTAAAAGTTGAACATCAGCATAATTTTATTCCCTTTATACATGTAGAGAATAACAGACCCACGGTCCTGTGCTCACACAGTTTGGAACCTTCAGAGGAATGTATATCCTGACTTTCAAACAAAAATATTGATTTGGATTTGTAGTCTCGAGCTTTGAGAAACTTAGATAGCACAGTTGTGTGACCTAGTTTGATGACCTTTGACCTTGAAAATTTTACTTATTCAGAGCTCAGTAAGGTCTTTTGTGATTAAGCTGACAAAAATTTACATTCAAAAATTAATTTGAAAAATCAACTTTTTTGACATTTCGAAGGTCAATGAAGGTCAAGTAAAGGTCAAATCCTAAAACTAATGTCAGATTTGAACTCCTGGCAACTTGTAGATGATTTTCAAAAAAAGATTTGGTCAAATTGCAGCAAGTTGAAAAATAACTTATTTTTACTGTTTTTTGACGTCAAATATCTCAAAAATGGTAAAAAATTGATGCTGACATATATTGAGCAATATGTAGGGAATGTTTAAAGTTGTCCTGTGCCATTATGTATAAATGAATGTATAAGACAATTACTTACGAAGTTGAAGTAGCATTAGGTTGGACCAGCTTCCCCCTTCCTCCCATGGTTTTCATACATGTCTGAAACACACAAAATATACAGCGTTGAACATAATTTTTCATATTTATTATATATTATAACAGAAAATAATCCAATTCAATGCAAAGTCTAAAAGTGTTTTTTAATTTGCTAGAGTTCTGTTTTTACATCATATATTGTATAGTAATTTAATTTTATAGAAATAATAAAATAATAAAGGATATGATAAAAAAAACACAATGTGTGAATGTAATTTTGTGTTTATAGATGTTTGGAAGAGTTTGAAGGGGTTGATTTGTTTCAACTATTTTTCAATGTTATTTAAGGGTTGACCATGTCAATATCAAGTGTAGAAGATAACTGAATTTTCAGAAAGTTGCAGTGACACCTCTACATTGAAGTTAATCAACAACTATCTGTTTAAACTGGCATGTATGCTTTAATTACTGTTGTCATTCGCAAACTCATATTGTGTACTTTAATTGTCAAGTGACAGTAAAACTATTTTTGTGACATTCAAGACAGAAGCTGTAAAGCACAAAATTGATAGAGGGAATGACTGACCTGTTAGACGTGTACCTTTGTCTAAACAAACTGAAAATGACAAGACTTTGGACGAGATAATTGAACATGACATAGTCAAGCCATCTAAAAGTCATTGGGCCTCATCTGTCGTGTTGGTGCCAAACATGGATGGTAATTTGGACAGGGGGATTGTCAATTTGCCTTTGAAGAATTAAAGAGACTCTATTTGGGTTCTGCAAAGTTGGTCTAATCCGACAAGTCTAATCATTTGGTCTTGGACACTGACGCTTCTACATGCTAAGTTGGTGCTGTATTGTAATAGGAGGTTAATAGGGAATTAAAGGTTGTCAGTCATTACAGCAAATCATAGCCCAAACCTGATCGTAATTATTGTGTCACTTGATTGAAATTGTTGGCTATACTGAGGGCTGTTTTGTCTGATATGTTTTTGACCGTTAAAAGACACTTGTCCTGACCTAATGCCTCTTCATGCCCTTTGAAGAATATTCCTGGTGCCAAAGTACACCCTGAAACAGAAATACTTCTCATGTTGGGAGTACAAACACTGGTTCTAAATTTGAGTCAAAGATCATGTCAAAACTTCTAAAAAAAGTAAGTCACTCTAAGGTTCACTCAGGGTCCCCCTTTCCCAGGAACTCTACCCAGTCTCTCTCGTCTTTCACAATAAGTACAGTCAGTACAGGGATGTCTCTACATTCCACCAGCATTCGATTGTTTGGGACCAGGTTCAAATTTACCCAGGGAATTTTACTATCATGGAATAAAGAAAAAGTGATTTTTTGTCTCAAGCTTTTTTCATTGACCAGCTCAATCTCTCAATGACCAGTAGATTTTGGAGGGATGCCAGTTATAATGACTAGCAGATTTTATCACTGACTACATGAAAGGAGCATGGAAAGTATCGCAAAATATTTCAGACAGTCATGTTGGATTTTGCCTGTTTTCTGAGGATTTAAACAGAGTATTATGTTAGGCCAATGTATTACTTACAGGGAAAGTACTCATGGAGATGATAAAATAATTTGGACTTTGAGACAGAGACTGTGCAAGCAACCTACCCACATGTCGCACCATTGGTATAATAAGGTTCCAACTGACATTTTGACAAAACTGATGAAACGTTGCATATTGACTAATTTGGGCATGCTCTTTCCAATGAAATCAAAGAAAAACTTCCATCTTGGCTCTAAATATGTTTTTCACAATACCAGGGTGTGAGTCCATTAAATTTACAATAAACTATGTATAAAAAGATTCTTACTTTTATTCAATCAAATTCAAATAAAACAATGACCAATCAGAACTTAACATTTGGTCATGTGGCAGGAAACCAATATTTGCAGATCTGAAAGTGCAAAAAGTAAGTTTTTGAAATGAATTTGTCTCCTATACAGTACTATTAAAGAAGCTCACAAAAACATTTAGACCTACTTGTTTGTGAATATGTAAATATCTTTCTTACTGAACAAGGTTGTTGAAATATTCTTCTCTTGCTTATTTTATCAAGTTTTGCCTATTTCCATAATTTCTCCATGTGGCAAATAGAACTTTATTATACTCAGTATTTTCAGATATTTTAATGCTTATTAAAATACTGGTGATGCGTTTGTTTCAGCATGTTAGAACAATTACCCATTGAAATTATCGGCATGGTCCTGGACTATCTGACAGTAGAGGATCAAAGTCAGCAAGACATACCAGTGATTTAAATAGATTGTAACTAACTACCCAAGTAAAGGATGGGAAACATTTTCATCTCTGAAAGTTTAGATAACGAGAGTTTTCTAACCTTATGTGATCATTCAAAGGAATTTGAGGAGATTTCTTTGCGCTCTGTCCTAAAGTATAGCAGAAATTTAGTATATTCCCAGCTGGATGGCAAATATCCTAATTTATATTTCCTAGATTTCTTCCAAGCCTTGAAGTCTTTCCCTTTCATAATGTGTCAATCTTGTGTCTGAGGACATAGTTGCAATAAAATATTGCCAGAAAATAGAGCAGATATACACATCCCACACAGGAATTGAAGTGACAGAATTAACAACTATTCATGCAAGAAAGGTTCCCACATCTTTTCTGTGAAGAAGCACAAGGAATAGAATTCATGTATCTTCAACTGGTACAATTTTTAGAAGCAGTACCAAAACTTAATATGAACATTTTCAATATGGCGGCAACCTCGGACTTGGATCCGCGTATGGATCAACTGCTCTCAAACGTCGAGTGTTCACCACGACATGACATTATTGATCATATAATATAATAATGATCATCATTATGAGGAAATCTCACTGGATGAAGCAAGAACCCATCTTTTTCTTTTGTTAAAAGTGTATCTGGGCACCCTATGTGAAGACAAATATGATCCAGAGGGGAGGACCAGATAGATGACATTTATGTAAAACGGAGGGTAGGCAAAAATAGAACTGTGAGTCTATGTAATGACATTTACTGTTACCTTGGGGGCCTTACCGATCACTTCCCACGCAACACCCTTGGTACAAACAGTAAGACAGTTAAACAGTAAGAAACCAGATATTTTAGGCCGAGGAACTGATAGGCAGCGGTCAACTTTAAAGGAACATGGGGACACCATAGTAACCTGATGGGTACCAACGGCACAGAGGCCCTTGCACAAGTATGCATACTGACAGCCTCAGTTGGGGAGCTGAGGAAAGAAATGCAACAGCTGAAACAATCTTCTAAAGGTCAGATTGACTCCCAAAACAAACAACTCAAAGATGTCAAAGGTCAACTTAACAAGCAACACAAGCTTGTCCAGGAGCTTAAATCTCAATGTTTTCAATGTCACAAAAACTCCAGGAGATATGTAATAAGAGTATTGTTTCAGATAAGTCCAGACACATCAAGTGGCAGAGGTAGAGGGAGGGGGCGAAATACCTCTGCTCCCAAGCCACGACCAGTGGGTGTGACATAACATATTATATGCTCCCAACAAGTAATAGTGTTGTAAACCTAAGGTAGCTTTTGAATAGCTTTTGATACAGTGTAGTTCAGTGGAAATGAAATACTAATTATCCATTCTTCCTCAGTCTTTAAAATCTGCATGTGTGTACACATCTTTAGAAATATATTACATGATATATATGTTTAGAGGTAGAAAGTAGCATGTAGGTTATCGCAAACAACTTCAAACGATTCTAACTTGAATTATAAATAATTTCTGATCATGAACATGGGTGTATCTTTAGATCCATTCATTATCTTCAAGAAAAGTACATATGTTGATAATTTAGTTAATCAGACCTAAGTGATATTGAAGGGGCAATGGACCAATCAACATACTTTTTCAAAGATGTTGACCTAATTTTCACCAAAAATGCAACCTTTTATTATATTGTTGAATGCATAATTAGAATGTGCTTTGAGACAAGGAAAAGTTGATTGCTCCAGGGACTCTAAAGATACTGAATTTGGATGACCAAAATGAACTGAAACCAATGGATAGCATGAGATTTTTCAATGGAGAAATAACATGGGGAACACTTATCTTAAAGCAATCAAGTTTTTCTTTCAAGAACTATTTGATACATGTACATCAAAATAGAGAATAGTAATGCATTAAACATTGTAAAAAATGATTGCATTTTTGGTGAAAATGGGGTCAACATCTTTGAAAAAATGTGTGTTGATGGGTTAATTGCTAGTTATATATCTCTGAGTTTGTTTGACTTTATAATTACTGTATATAATTTTCTTTGAGATAATGAATTGATCTAAAAGATAAACTTCATTGTCAGAAAATAGTCATAATCCAAGATGTAACCTTCTGAAATTGTTTGTGATAACCTACGTGCTCCTTTATGTCTGAATATTTTCCGAAAGAGAAAGTGACATTTGATTCTGAAATTCAAAATGGCCCAATTTCAGGACCTCAAGCTGTATCATTATTATCTGCCCCAATTCAACCTCCAGATGGCTTTGACTTTTCGGATATAACAAGGTCGAAAAATTGGCCTAAATGGAAGAGGTGCTTCGAGCGTTATCGCTTAGCTGCTACTTTGGACAAACAGCAAAGGATTCCAACTGTTCAAAGTGTTCCAAATTCGGACGTTTGGAAAGCATATAAAGATCTACTAAGTAAGCTGTTCATAGTGTAACTAGTGATGACAAGTGAATCAGTTATGCATACATTTATTGGTCATACAACATCTGCAGCTGTAGAAAATATGCAATCTATTGATGATGAATTTGACATAGATTTGAAAGATTTGAAACTTGTGAAACCTAAGAAACAACTTTATGGGCCTGGTCACAATCAGTTCAAAGTTCTATGCATGTTCCATACTTCTATCTATACTCAATATACGTCAAAAAATGTAATTAATTACGTTAGGGGGGGAGGGGTAAAGCCTTATTTAATAAGATGACAATGTTTCCAATAGTCTTCTGCAATGTATATGATCATTAAATATATAACAGATACAGCGTGAAAAAGAATTTGATATGTGTTGTGTATAACAGTAGCAGATAT